AAGGAAGGAAGGAAGGAAGGAAGGAAGGAAGGAAGGAAGGAAGGAAGGAAGGAAGGAAGGCAAGCAGACAGGGTAGAGTGCTTGCCTCACCTGCTCTGGGCCATGGGTTCAAGCTCCAGTACTACAGAAAAATTTAAAGTAGTATTAATGGACTAGAAGCAAAGTCTGGTGGCATAAGTATCTGTAACCCCAGATACTTAGGGAACTGGTACAGAAGGATTACAATTCAAGGTCAGCTTGAGCAAGTTAGCAAAACCCTAACTCCAAATAAAAATATTTTAAATGATATGGGGCTATAGCTCAGTGGTAGAACACTTGTCCAACATTCATAAAGCCCAAGGTTTACTACTTAGTCATGCCAGTACACACACACACACACACACACACACACACACACACACGTGTATATACTGATATATAATGAAACCACTATTTAAATAAAAATGTGTGTGTATATATATACACATATACATGAGCCTCATAGAATTTGATTTCTACTTGAGATACTAATTTTATATGGCTTAACATACATATTACAGACTATATCTGGAAAGATAAATAAGAAACCAGTGACAGTGTTTGTCCCCATCCGAGAGACTAGACAGCTGGAAGGGTTTGTAGTGGTAATTACTTTTGTATCTCTCACGTATTTCAATTTACATGCTAAGCATGCATTACCTCCTCAAAATTTTATTTTAACACATTGAGGAAGAAAGTAGCAAAATTATTTTTACCCCTTGAATTAATGTTTGAATAAATACTAAGTATGTATGTGTCCATAAATGCTTAGAGAAAAAAAATCACAGTTATGTACTAGTAGTGCTAACAGGTTAACCTTGACTGGTGTAGTTAGACAAGGCAACTGAAGCGTTACCATTTCTATTTGGTGTGTTTATTGCATGTTTTTGTATATAATGAAATTTTAATCCTTTTCTTTTGCCAGCATGGAGCTGAACAGGGGAAACGGTGTCTTTTTCCTGTCTTGACCTCAGAATAGGAACAGAATTGGGAATCTCAGAACTTTTACAGAATCTGCAAAAGGAAATAGACTCAGGATATTCCACAGGAAAGTGCAGAATTGCTGAACTCTAGACTGTCTTTGGGAAAAGGGAACGGCTGAAAATATAGTGCACAGTCTTTGATTGCTAGCATGATGGGACTTAGAAGCCTGTAGGAGGCACGCCTCTGGCAGTGTCTGTGAGGCCATTCCTAGGTTGATTTAATAGAGGAGGGAAACCCACCATGAATGTGGGTGGGAATCCTGTGGGCTAGGCTCCTAGATTAAATAAAAAGGAGAAAGTGGGCTGAGCACCAGCGTATTTGTCTCTCTCTGCTCTTCCTGTGGATGCTTCAGGGTACAATCGTGATGGACCGCGTCCCTAAACTGTGAGTCAAAAGAAACTCTTTCCTCTTTTACCTGCATCTGTCAGAGCAGTGAGAATAGGTAACTAATACAGTATTTCACTCCAAATAATCTTATTAAAAATGTCTTAGGACTGGAGAGATGGCTCAGTGGTTAGGAACCCTTGCTGCTCTTGCAGAAGTTTGATTCCCAGCATTCACATGGTGGCTCACAGCTGGTTAA